AGGATCGCTTGAGCCCAGGAGTTTGAGGTTGCTGTGAGATAGGCTGACGCCACAGCACTCACTCTAGCCCGGGCAAAAGAGTGAGACTCTGTCTCAAAAAAAATAAATAAATAAAACTGATTGTGACTGATCTCCCACCACCAGTCTGAGCAATTTACAATGTGTTGGAGACAATAGCAGTGTAGTTATGAGCGTGCTGAGTAGGAATTTGAATCTTATCTCCACCATCTATTAGTTTTGTGACCCTGGGCAAGCTCTTTAACTTCTCTATTGCATCATGTGTGAAACAGGAATAATTATAAGACTTACAGGATTGTTATAAGAGTTAAATAGTTAACATAAAGTACATGATAGGTATTCAGTACATGTTTTTTCTTTTCTCCATTTTATATTTAAACATAAGATGAAATTTATTTCACAAAATATTTTCTTTTAGGAGGACGTGACACGTGAGATTTATTTTATTAAAAAATTAAAATCAGTTTAAAGCTGGAAGAGACCAGAAACTCTTGAGAGTAAAAACCTATCTTATCTCTGAGGGTATATGCCTTCTAATATCTGAAACACTTATCAGGGAACAAAGTTAGGTTCTCAGATGTTTTTGTACTATTCAAAAATTGGAGGCTGACTGGCAGTAACTATACCTTGATTTGTACTGAGCATTAATTTTCTCTTTTTCATCCAGAATTTACCCTTAAAAACTAAATTGAAATAAAAAAAACTTGAATATGTTTTAATGGTTAATGAGGGGAAAATGTCTTGCAGTGGACAACAGATGAAGATTTAACTGAAGCAGTTCATTCTTTGGGAGTAAATGATATTTTGGAGATAAAATTTTTTGAAAATCGAGCAAATGGCCAGTCAAAAGGGTAAGAATTTTTTCTTCCTTTTTGAGTAGCTGGTGATTTTTTTCTAAGTTAATAGCTATTGATGATTAAGTTAATGCTAGTTACACACGTGTAGGACAAATAATTATTTGTGTTGGAAGGAGGTTCTTGGGCAAGATTCATACTCTTATTTCGTCTACTCTGTTAACATAATGCACTAAAACTAGTGGAGTTGGATTTGTGGACAGATTAGGTGTATTTTCTAATTTTCCCAGGTTTTCTCCATCTATGGTTGAAGTGGTTTATTGAATTGTCAGTTTTAAGAAGCTTTATTCTCCCTGTGATTCAGAGATGGGGGAAGATGGGCAACTGGAAAGTAATGTAATGTGGGTGTTTTGGTTTATTTAACTACTAAACTATATAAATGAGATAGAATTATTATAAGAACATTATCAAAACAGATATCCAGAAGTAAGAATATAAAATGCCACTATCTCACCATCCACAGATGATCACTCTTAATATTTTAATGAATATACTTCCAGATTTTTTCCTTAAAAATACAATAAGATCATGATTCCCCTGTTTTTTAACATGTTTGGTACGAGGAGTAGAACATATCAATAAATATACATCTTCTCTAATGTCTAATTCTTTTCTGTTATGCCTCATATGCTACTATATTTTATCTTTCTTATTTTTGGTTATTTCAGTTGTTTCCACTTTTGCCTATAATAAATAATGTTGCAGCAGGCATTATTTTATAAAAATCCTCAGGTGCAGATTTTGGGGTTTTTGTTGTTGTTGTTTTTAAGACAAGATCTCACTCTGTCACCCAGGCTTGTAGTACAGTGATGACACGATCATAGCTCACTGCAACATTGAACTCCTGGACTTCAGGGTTCCTCCCGCCTCAGCCTCCCAAGTAGCTGGGACTATAGGCTTGGCCAACCACACTTGGCTAACTTTAAAAAATTTTTTTTTGCAGAGATGAGGTCTCATTGTGTTGTCCAGGCTCATCTTGAACTCCCAGCCTCAAGCGATCCTCCTTCAGCCTCCCAAAGTGTTGGGATTACAAGCATGAGCCACTGCACCTGACTGGATTTTTTTTTTAAGCATAAATTGCTAGTTGCAGATTGATAAAGATAGACTTATATTTATTTCTCTAAAAAGATTGTACCAATTTATACTAAATTAGGAATATTTTTAAAATACGCAGTCTGAATACTTCTCACCAACTTCACTTCTGCCACTGAATTTTACATCCTAAATGACTAAATTCTATGGTATGGTATTAAGAAAAGATAAATATGGAAGTGTATACTTGCATAGCTTTGAGAGATATTTTCAGTATTTTTTAGGTAAAAGTAAATTCAGACCATTTTTAAAAGCAGTAACAGTAACATTAATCTTTCCTCACTTTCTACCCTCACTCCTTTAAACACCTTTTAGGTTTGCCCTTGTTGGTGTTGGATCTGAAGCATCTTCAAAAAAATTAATGGATCTGTTGCCTAAAAGAGAACTTCATGGTCAGAATCCTGTTGTAACTCCATGCAATAAACAGTTCCTGAGTCAATTTGAAATGCAGTCCAGGAAAAGTAAGCAATCCCTCAGAGGCTTTTATTAAAAGATGTACATTTTAACCAATGTATTTGTTAGGTGTTATACTAGGGAAGTCGTCTTGACATTGGTTCATTGGAAACTCCATTTTAGAAAGTGTATGCTTTGAATTCGATTTAATCGCTGGTTATTACTGTGGACCATGTGCTGGAAACCTTCCGTTCCATTTTTCTTTAGATGTAACAGACCCAATACTTTACAAGATTTGCAAGTTCTGTAGCCCTGGCATTCTTGTCCTGTCATTCCCGTCTTAGAGAAAGGAATAAACTACATTCTAATCCTTAGATCGAAGGAAAGCTATGTGGATGTATGTTATGGTGGGGGAGAGATCATTGAGAACCAGAAAATATTCTTTGGTTTTCTGCTTGGCACCAAGACCTTTCACCGCTTGGTAAAGTGAATATAGAAAATATTTGCCATTATACACTTAAGAATGTTATCATTTAAAGAGATAAGATAGATGATCATGTAATTAACAGAAATTCAAGTAGTTGTTTTTCTTTTAATGTTTTAGCACTTGAGACTTAATTGAAGAAGGCGTTAGAAAATTTAAATGATCTATGCTACTGAAATTAAGATTTCTGTTGAAGCATTTTGGTCTTGGCTGCTGCAGAGTGCTAGTATTTTGAAAGTAATTCATATTTACTCATCGGAAATATATTTAAACCTGCGTATTTCAAGACTTCAAAAGCGCTTAAATAGATGTGAATGTTTTCCTAACCAATATTTCTCATGTAGTTTACATGGGCGCACGGCATCTTCAATATCTAGTATAAATGAACTTTGAAATAGAGTTTCTAATAACAGTGGTTACATTTCAGAGAACTATTTTAATAAGTGCTATTTATGAGTATTTGGATATTTGCAGCTACACAATCAGGACAAATGTCTGGGGAAGGTAAAGCTGGCCCTCCAGGAGGCAGTTCACGTGCAGCATTTCCACAAGGTGGTAGAGGACGGGGCCGTTTTCCAGGGGCTGTTCCTGGTGGGGACAGATTTCCTGGGCCAGCAGGACCAGGAGGGCCACCCCCACCTTTTCCAGGTAAAACTTTTCTTAAATTACCATGGATAAACATGTCTACCTAATACCTCTTTTCCTTTTCTCTCTTTTTCAAGTAATGCATTATTAATGTGACTTACTCTCGTTATGCTATTTTTGGAATCCAGGAAATTTGATCAAGCATCTTGTTAAAGGAACTCGGCCTTTGTTCCTGGAAACTAGGATTCCATGGCATATGGGGCACAGCATAGAGGAAATACCCATTTTTGGCCTAAAAGGTCTTTATTTTTCTCCAAACTTGCTTGACTTATATATAGAATATTTACATCCATCTTATTTTCTTACCTCTTAAAAAATCCTTTCAAGACCATTTTTCCTTGTTTCACTTTCTAGCTTGGCATCAGAGTAGACTATAAGGTGGGTGATTTCACTGTAAGAAGTGTGTGTACACTGAAAGGTGGAAAATATCTCTAAGTATTGTAATCTTTTTTATTGAAGTTTTTGTTTTATTAATTTTTCTTAAGCATAAATTGGGCTAGTTAAATGTGTAAGGATATACTTCACTGTAGTTGTTAGTGTAGCATTTACCATATGGGTTTCATTTAAAGAGAAAGAATCTTGGTCTGTGAGTTATGCTTTAAAAGTATAATCTTGGCATGTAAAGGTTAAAGTATCTTATTATTGAAGTGTTTTTTTCCTCTCTCCTTTATTCTGTAGCTGGACAGACTCCACCACGTCCACCCTTAGGTCCTCCAGGTCCACCTGGTCCACCAGGTCCTCCACCTCCTGGTCAGGTTCTGCCTCCTCCTCTAGCTGGGCCTCCTAATCGAGGAGATCGCCCTCCACCACCAGTTCTTTTTCCTGGACAACCTTTTGGGCAACCTCCGTTGGGTCCGCTTCCTCCTGGCCCTCCGCCTCCAGTTCCAGGCTACGGCCCCCCTCCTGGTCCACCACCTCCACAACAGGGACCACCTCCACCTCCAGGCCCTTTTCCACCTCGCCCACCTGGTCCACTTGGGCCACCCCTTACACTTGCTCCTCCTCCGCATCTTCCTGGACCACCTCCAGGTGCCCCACCGCCAGCTCCACATGTGAACCCGGCTTTCTTTCCTCCACCAACTAACAGCGGCATGCCAACATCAGATAGCCGAGGTCCACCACCAACAGATCCATATGGCCGACCTCCACCATATGATAGGGGTGACTATGGGCCCCCTGGAAGGTAAGTTAGTATGTATCTATGAAAGTATTTGATAAAAGATAAGAATGACTCTGAAAAATATTATATTGTAGATTTGTAAGTATATCATTTCTGCCTTCCAAAAAGATGAGGTTTCTAAGTTGCTAATTTATTTCAGTTAAAAGATACTTGTGTAAGAGAATTTTGTTTAGACTTGTTCTCTTTGTAGGAAAAATAGCATGCTTCAATCTGGAAAAGTAACTGCTGTCTCTAAGGCACATGTCAGAAACAACCTGTATGAATTGCTTTACACTGTTATGACTAACTTAGAAAATTTGTTGAGTGCTGAGATTAAGTGCTAAGTTAAGGTTTGTTTTTATTTTATAGGGAAATGGATACTACAAGAACACCATTGAGTGAAGCTGAGTTTGAGGAAATCATGAATAGAAATAGGGCAATCTCAAGCAGTGCTATTTCAAGAGCTGTGTCTGATGCTAGTGCTGGTTTGTATATTTCTTCCTGTATTACTGTTTCTTATGTATGTTATTAGGAATGAATAAAAACTTAACATATAGTCTGGTTAGATAGGTTATTTACATGTCATAATTCTTTTTATATTCCCAAATCATTACTTATTTTAAAATCATTGAAGAAAGATGTATGTCATGGTGTAGTGGAAAGACCCCTAATTTTAAGTTATTAGGTGCAAATTTAAGTCTTAGCTTAACATTTAACACATTGACTGCCACACAAAAAAATCAGAAACTTTTCCTTGAGGCCACAGTGTTTTATTACAAAAATAGAACAAAAACCTCAAGTGTAATTTAAGGGTAAACATAAATAGAAAAATAAAATTCATTGACTTCTATTCATTAATAAACACTTTTAGAATTACATTATCAGTATTGATTGTAACAATAAGAACACCAACAAGCAAGATTTTATATATGCTTCATGTGGCCCAGGGTCGAAACTAGAGTGAGTTAAATACAACTCTCAAGGCAGTTAATATGTTAATAGTTCAGGGACCTTAAGGCAGCTCACTTAATCTCATATTTGCAAAATGATAACCTATTTCACACAGCTGTAATTACAACCAGTTATGTTACTTTCATGAGCATGAAAGCCTTTTGCAAATGGTGAAACACTAAAAATAGACATCTTCTGTAGTCGTTTGATACCACTTTGATAAAATGCTTTAACACTCTTACCCTAAGTAGTTTGATGGGAATTTGGAAATAATTGACATCAAACCCTTTCCTTTCCTTCACAGGTGATTATGGGAGTGCTATTGAGACATTGGTAACTGCAATTTCTTTAATTAAACAATCCAAAGTATCTGCTGATGATCGTTGCAAAGTTCTTATTAGCTCTTTGCAAGATTGCCTTCATGGAATTGAGTCCAAGTCATATGGTTCTGGATCAAGGTAAAACTTTCCTGTCTCATGTCTTTTTAAAACTGCTAGTTTGCAAATGGAAAAAATACAGTGTATGGGACTTCAAAATAAGACTTTGATTTTGTTTAGCATTTACTTAGCACCTAGAGTGATTTTGTAAACTCTAAATTAATAATGTCAAGTGTTTTCCTAAAACAATTCAAAGGCTTCTATGTGCTCTTAGAATAAGACCATAAAGATTGAGGCACACTATGTGATATAGTCCCTGCCTATCTTTTTTAGCCTCATCTTCTACCTCTTCCCTTAACTCACTATTCTCCATCCATTCTCCCCAGTGGTCTCCCTTCTTTTTTTCTGGATACATCAAGCATTTGACCCCCTCACTTATTTTGTGCTTGATATTCCTTCTGCTGGGAACCTTTTCCCCTGGTTCTTCACATACCTGCCTCCTTATCCTTCATGTCTCAACTTAATCTAATTTCTTAGAAGCGATCTTTAACCAGGTTGGTCTGTCATATAGTTCTGTTTATTTCTTTCATAGTACTTACATAACCTATAGTTATCATTGCACATGCACATTCCTTCTTGCTAAAATATGTGTTGAATGATGGCAGAAGTCTTATCCATCCTATTCACTATAATCTTTCTATCTTTCTTTTTTTTGTTGTTTGATGAGATAGGGTCTCTGTTGCCTAGGCTACAGTGCAGTGGTGTGGTCACTGTAATCTCCAACTCCCAGGCTCACGCGCTCCTCCTGCATACTGGGACTACAGGTTTACGCCACCATGCTTGGCTAATTTTTAAATTTTTTGTAGAGACAGGAGTCTTGCTGTGTTGCCCAGGCTAATCTTGAACTCCTGGACTCAAGCAATCCTCCCACCTTAGTTTCCCAGAGTGCTGGAATTGTAGGTGTAAGCCACTGCACCCTGCCTATCCTATTAACTACAATATTTCTAATTCCTGCAGAGTGCCTGGTATTGAATGGGTGCTAAATGAATATTTCTTGAATGAGGGAGTGAATGAATGAGTGAATGAATGAATGACCTATTTTTAAGGTAGTTCTTTTTAGCATTACTGATAGCCTTGAAACTATGTATATTTGTGAAAGGTAGATCTTTAATCTTCATGTGATATTCTTAGATCTATCTTAAGTGTACTTTATCTAGTGATGGAATCTTCATTAAGTTAAGGGAAAGGAGCTTGTTTTGGCATAGCCCCAACTTTATAACTATTCCCTTTTTGACCCAGTGTAAACATCTTTGGATCGGAACAAATTTGTCATAGCTATAGATCATATCTTGTCTCGATTTTTTACACTTTTTTTCCCACCTTCTTTTCGAGATGGGGTCTTGCTCTGTCTCTTGAGCTAGATTGCAGTGCAGTGGCATCATCACAGCTCGCTGCAACCTCAAACTCCTGGGCCGAAGTGATCCTACTGCCTCAGCCTCCTGAATAGCTGGGACTACAGGCACATGCCACCATGCCTGGCTAATTTTTCTATTTTTTGTAGAGACGAGGTCTCGCTCTTGCTCAGGCTGGTCTCAAACTCCTGGTCTCAAGCAGCCCTCCCACCCAGGCTTTCCAGAGTGCTAGGAATACAGGCGTGAGCTACCATGCCCAGCCCTTGTCTCTCTCTTTTTTTTTTTTAAAGTTAAGTCCAAAGTAAGAACTTCTACCTTGATCAAGGAGCTTAGCACCTAATAATTTTTGCTAAGCCTAGCTGTTTGGTGCTGAAATGCAAGAAGAAAAATTGTTTTATTTAAACTAGTAGACAATGGTTATTTCCTATTATGAATTTAGCAAAATTTCTAAACGTCTTTTTGGCAACAAACTTTGGTTAAATTATCTGTTTTTTTAAAAAGGCAATTCATGAAACATTTCTACTTACTAAATACAATGTGAATACAACAGTAATAGTTTCTACTGGTCACAATTATTAGGCTTCTCCTCCAAACATACATATATATTAGAAAGTTAGTTTCTTAGTGGAGCATAGTGCTCCTGATGAACCATATCTTGACTAGGTAGAAATGGAAAATTAATATTTTATATATAGGTTTATGTAACTTGTGTAGATAGATGGTAATTTTATCTATTTGGGCACTGTTGTATATTGTGATTTCATGAATTTTATATCTAAAAGAAACTTTTATGTTCTTTGTCTTCAAATACAAGTGCTTTGAAAGTCTCTCTCCTTTACTTTTTGTTCAGTCAGTATCCTTCATGTCTGTTTTAGGGTACTAGTTTAAGTAGATGGTATGATGTATTTTCATGGTATATGGTTCCCTTGTTTTTGGTGAGTATTTATAAAAATGAAATTTCTGGTTCATGCTTGTTGGTGAGTTGGTAAATCACTATTGGCAGGTCAGGATAGTAAGTCTAAACTAGATTTACAAAGAATTTTGCCTTTTTTAGATTTTTTTAAATACCAAAATACTGACTCACTTCTTATCTATCCAATTATGGAGAACATTCATTAATCCAGTAATTTCTTTTAGAAGACGTGAACGATCAAGAGAGAGGGACCATAGTAGATCACGAGAAAAGAGTCGGCGTCATAAATCCCGTAGTAGAGATCGTCATGATGATTATTATAGAGAGAGAAGTAGAGAACGAGAGAGGCACCGGGATCGTGACCGAGACCGCGACCGAGAGCGTGACAGAGAGCGAGAGTATCGTCATCGTTAGTAGGTGGGTATTCCTTGTTCCTGTTATATTTAGCAGGTGTATTAACAGTAATTATAACTCCAAGGCTATTGTTTATACAGTATATACCTACATTTTAAATGGTCCAACTACTTGTTCTGAATATAATCTTCTGGAAACATCTGAGACAAATAACAAGTAAGTAATGACAGGTAAAAATTTTGACCCTTTATTTGAATATTGTATTGCTGGGTTATCACTTTCAGGTTTCAGATTGTTAATGGTCTTAAAGCAAGGAAATAATCAAGAGGACTCATTGTGTACTTCTAAAATCTAAAAATTGGGATTCTTATAATCACATAGTTTTCATGTGATTTAAAATATATAGGGAGTTATATATATATTATGTGCTTGGATTTTTAAAAAGGAATTTAAAGTTTCTATTCTTGAACTAATTTCATTTGTCCCTAAAACTTTTTAAGAAAATCTAACACTATAAAAGCTTATAATACAGGGGGATTTTTTTTTCTCAGCATTCAGAGAGCCTTTTTCCTTAAAATATTTTTTATAAAAGATACTGTTTTCCTGACATCTGGTTTTTGTTTTTTAAAGAAAAGAAACTGTCCTTTAATTTGCAAAGAAGATGTAAAAGTACTCAATTAAAATGGGTTGAGGGTGCTCCGTATCTAAAAATTTTAAATTATGTCAAGCCATACATCCCAGGTTAGAATAACCTTGAAATAATTTTCTTTGATGTTTCATTCATAAACCATAATCATTGTCTTTTTTTTCTGTATTTTAAAACTATTTCTTGTGTACATTTTTCATAAAGTGGGAAGAGTTGTCTGTTTATGCTTCATTTTCACATGTAATTTTATTTTTATATTTGTGAACAGCATTTATTCATGTGAAGAATTGGGAGGAGGGCACCATAAAGCTTGTACATGTGATACAAAGGTTATTCTGTAAACAGAAGTATTTTCTTTATATGTTTGGTGGCATATCCAAATTAAATTAGGCCAAAACAACCCCCTTTATAGGTAAATACTCTTTATGCAATTATTTTCAATACTCATGGGAAACTTAATGAAAATTCAGTCGTGGTAATTGTTAGTATTTAAATTGCTATGGACAGAATTAAAGGCTTTATTGAGTGTATGTAATTCTGTGACAGAATAGCAGTTTCTTTAACCATAACATATATTTTAGCAAATGAGATCCTTTTGAACAATACTATTTAGAAAATAAGCATGTAAGTCTTATTTTTGTGGGACACAAAAAAGCTCTTATACTATTTACAATGCTAAGGGCTTTTTAACTGAAAAGGCTGATTTTAATACTTTTCCTTGGATTTTGAGTATGTAGGTTGAATATCAAAATTTTAATTTTTATATAGGTCTCCATGTATTATATCACAAAATTTAATATAAATAAT